GCACCCCAGGAGGGTGGGGGGGTGCCCTCAATTCTGCATGGCGTGGGGCAGGCTGCAGCTGCGGGGTGGAGCTGGAGCCAGCATTGCGTGGGGCTTTTCTTACCAGGGTCTGGGCTTGGAGTGGGCTCTGGCGACGCTGGGAGGAGGCTGCAGCCACCTCAAGTTTTGCCTCAGCTCTGCTCCCAGCCCCGCGCTGCCACCCACCACTCAGCACAGCTGTGGCTGAGCGCCCTGCCTCCACCTAAGTGCTGGGAAAAGCCACAGCTGTGCTGGGTGGCAGGTGGTGGTGTGGGGCTGGGAGCGGAGCTGCGGCAAAATTTGGGGTGGCTGCAGCCTCCTCTGAGTGCCACCAGAGCCCGCTCCAAGCCCATCTCCTGGCAAGAAGAGCCCTGCGCAGTGCTGGCTCTGGCTCTACCCCGCAGCTGCAGTCCACCCTGTGTCACGCAGATCTGAGGGCACACTCCCCCCCCCCTCCGGGGGTGCAAGCAGCAGTGGCAGCCACCCCCACCCCACGAGCTGCGCCTCCATCTTCACTCCCCTGCCCTGGCTGGGCAGCAGCTGCCCCTACCCATGCCCCCTCCCTCACTGCTGGGGCCATTGATCTGCTCCTCCATTCCCCTTCTCTCCCCCTCCCCTTCCACCACAGTGAACTTACTAGCTGATGGCAGCTGTATCAGATCAGTATCGGCCAATATGCCTTCTTAAATATTGGCTATCGGTATCAGCCCCCAAAATCTCTATCGGTGCACCCCTAGTTCCCATCCATCCTGTACTTGATGTCCATTCCATGTGTCAGATGGTCATGGATGAGTATCTCGATAACCAGGGATTCTGGTTTTCTGTATTTAAAAATCACAAATTCTATTTAAAAAAACAAAAAAACAAAACCCAAATTCTCTGATTTTAAAAGCCCAAAATATATGATTAAAATGAAATGTCTCATTATATATAGATATGTATATAGGAACCCAATGTTTTATTGATATATTTACGATTTTAAAGCAATTTGGAAGCCTACCAGTGCCTCAATCACTATAATAAAATAAATTCTAAGTACCTATAAATTTTGGTATTTGATTTTGGGTTTTTTATAATGGAAAATCAGAGCTTCCCCTGTCCCCTTCACTCACCAGGATGCAGATCCAGGCCCTTCATTCCCCACACACAGTCCTCCAGCCCCACCCCCACAGGCCTGCCAGAGAGGACCCCCAGTTACCAGAGCTATGGGGCCAGGGACATGGGTCCATAGTCCCCTACCCCCCGCAGCAGCGGCCAGTCCTGGCTGCTGTGGTGGAGCAAAGCATGGGGCCCAGCTCTCCCTTCCCCATGGGCTTCACTCTGGCCATGCAACCCACGGCAAGACAGAGTGGGACTGGGCTGAAAAGTCTTTGCTGCTGCAAGCCCCATGCCACCATAATGAAGTGCCCTCTTCCGGCCCAGCAGCAGCGAGGGGCACAGCTCTGCGCTCCTGCCCCCACTGCTGTTGGGCGGGCAAGAGGCACTTTGCTAGGGTGGTGTGGGGCTTGCATCAGCAAGGAGCTTCCCTGCCCAGCCCCACTCTGCCCTGCTGTGCCAGGTCCCGCCCAATGGGCTGTGGAGGTCCTATTCCGCTCCCACCCCATGCACAGATCTGAGGGGCACATGCCCCCATGTCCCCCTGGGAATGCACACAGCGGCAGAGAGCCAGCCCCCCTCCCACCCCCCACTCCCTGGACAAGCCGCCTGTGGCCCCATCCCACTCCACTCCCTTCTGGGGGCCTGCAGCTGCACATTCTAGTCCCAGGCCGTAAGCCCCACACACTGCCCAGGTGGGCAGCAGGCTTAACCTTGGCCAACTCACTCCCTCCTTCCCTATGAGAGCCTCAGTTCCCCTTCCCCACCTTCAGACTTACCTGTCGGGATCTGTAGCAGCTGCTCTCCAGGCTGCCTGGCAGCCATGTGTCTGTGTATATGCACATGTGCACATGGCACCCCTTGCCTGAGTGCCCTCCTCCTGCTCCCCCCCAGCCCTTTGCAGGCTGGAAATTTTGCAAAAGTGGAAAATCTGCGTGTTTCCCTGTTAAATGAAAAATTCATGTTTTTCTTGGTCAAAAGGGAAAATCTGTAGGGGGGGGTTGTTTTTCCATGGGAAAACGAAAACCTGGATCCCTGCTGATAACCACAAAGATGATGGAAAACAAGGGTGTAAAAGCTTAAAGAAATGACCATACTGTAGGCTGCAATTTAGAACATCTGGTGTAGTGTTTATTATGAGTTCTTCAGGCATCAGGCCAAATCAGTACCCCTTGGTCTCTGCCCTTTTCACATCTACTCAGGAAGGTTCCATTGTGGGGGGTTTTTTGTTTTTGGGTTTTTTTAGTAAATAGTGGACAACAACGGTCAGGCTTTTTTTAGCATCCTTCGACTGGTCTCAGGAAGCATGTATGGACCTACAGTATGCTTGGATTTAGACCAATGTCATTTAGATGTGCTTTTTTTTTTCCATACGTGTGCTTGCACCTAGCTCTACATTCAATTTTACCATGAGAAAACTGGAAAATACTTCTTTGAAACTGACTAATTTTGTTGCTTAATAAGGATGGAAACTGGAGGATGTAATTAAAAAAACTTCTAAGTGTTTGTTTTACAGGCCTGTAAATTCCCTATTATTTAGACTCAATACTTCCTTTTGTTTAAAACATAGAAGTGAAAAATAGTAACAATGCAGAACACATGAGACTCAAGGGCTGTTTAGTCCTGTATCCTGTCTCTGATAATGGCCAGTACTGGCTACTTCACAGAGAGGTGCAGGTACCCTGCAGTGGACCGTTGTGAGATGATTTTTCTTCATTGCATTTGGTCACATCCCAATTTGCCTTTTCTGTGCCACTCATTATTTTATAAATGTTTATAAAATGACATTTATTTTATAAATGTTTATAAAATTTTATAAATGTTTATAAATGTTATCCCATCTCCTTCTAGGGGAAAACACATTGTTTTTGAAAGGTGACTTGGGTATCAGGCTGAGCCCAATCCTGCAAAGGTTTATAAGCACTTACTCTCCTGAGTTGTTTTGGTGGCTTCAGTGAGACTATTCATATAAGTAAGGACTTGTAGGATGAGGCCTTATTGTAGTATTTTTGGAAGTTTATGAGCCAGAAATTTCAAAGGTGAAAATATGGAATCAGTTATACTAAAAAATAACTTTGTTTTCCAGGGTTAGGAAGTAAGTTATGGGGGAAAAACAGTTTGTTAATTGGACAGCTGTTTAAAGAAGTAGAATAATCATTCATTTAGGCTTTTATTTTTGAACTGACAAAAGGCTTTTTAGCTAATTTCTTTGAAGTATGAAGTAATATGAACCCAGCAAAATCCAGCAGTGATTCTAGGATTCCCTTGGAACAAGGTGATTTTTATTAAGAATCTCCATTAATTTCCACCATACAATTATTTTCAGGAATCAAAAATTGTCTATGGAAGGTATGATTTCAGTGGAGGTAAGCTACTATATACTCAAATCTCTGTTACACATCTGAAAATTGGCATTTCTTCTTTTCTCTCTTTAAAAAAAACTAACAGTAATAATAAAAATCTTCACCATCACACCTCAACCTTGAAAAATAGAGAACAATGAGAGCTGATTAATCTGTGCTTAATTTAGTTGTATGTTAAATTAGTTAGTCTGTGCTTGAAAGATTTAAGTATTAACAACCTGCAGAATGTTGTTCCAGCCCATGACTTACAAAGGTTGCTAGACCCTGCACTGTGGTATTGAACATACTGAACTATTTACCATTCTAAATTTTGAGGAAAAATAATATTGCAGAAAATATTGTTTTTGACTTATCTACAGTAACTAGTGTGTGGGTGTAATTTTGCTGGTTGTGGTGGACTGGGTTATAGAAAGTAGTTATTGTTCAGAGATACTCTGATGCACTTGTTTATTTCCATAAACTGGGAATTACTAAAATGACAACGGCTACCAAGACACATGGCGCATTTAATACTCATGTCATTGATCTTTATACTGGTGTGAAAAAAGAGCAGGCACATAGTTTAAAGCCTTATGCCACTGTAACAGACTTGAATCTGATATAAAATTATCCTGAGGAAAATCAGGGTTAAAACAACATTATGTAAGTTATAACAGTGTAGATATTGTGTCTTAAAGCAACAGCCTGTTTGCCATGAAAAAATGTCTGTTCAAAGACAGCAAATGGTTTGTGGCAGCCATTTTTCCATGCAGTCAGGCTACTGTCAGGTCCCCAACTGCTTAGTGGTAAGGTGCTGTAATAGTATCTAGTGTGGGTACCTGCTGTGGAATAACTGCTCATCTGTTCACTCAGGATTCTGGTGTAACTTACAATGATGTACAAAACTTATGTACAAATTACACCAATATAAACATATTGCA